TGAGTGTTTATTCTGTCTTTGGCTCTGGGGGGACAGGTCTTTCTCTTTGTTCTGCTGCCATACCCTTGGCACCTGAAATCCTGTCTGGCACATAGCAGGCGCTCAGTAACTCTTTAAATGAGTAAATAACTCTCAGTGGCTATTCAAAAAAACTTAAAGAATAGTATTAAGAAAATAAGAGTTAAAGTATCTTAACTTGTCTGTTATCAGTATCAGATTTAAATCTGTTCCAATTTTCTTTGTACCCTCCAGCGGATATTACCACCTGATGCTAAAGTCATCTCTTTGTAAAACACTTATTAAATGAATCAGGTTAAACTGAAAACTTTTTCAGCAGTGGGTAATTAGCTAGGAAAACTGCTGCTTGATCCTCGTGCCGTGATGCAGGCCAACATCAATGCGGAGCTCACATATGTATGTAATGGAACAGAGCATCTTCATTTGCTTCAGTGTCATTGTTATTCTGCTCCTGGTCACCTCTAGACCCAATAAAATAACAATTTGGAGAGGGGGCTGCCTCCTACTTAGAAGGAGGGCAGTGAACTCAGCCTCTAACCCACAATGAGTGGGGCAATAAGCCTTTTCACTCACATCACTGGTGGTCACCAGTTTGGGCCATTTTGAAGTAAAGGCCAGTTCCCTTTCTCATTTTCTAGAGATGGGTACAAACTCTTTAGTGTATTGATTTTTCCCTTGATATCTTACATCTTCTTTACGTGGCAAATAATGCTCACATGCAATTCTAGTTTTTGTCTTAGAACAATTACTTGATTTCACAAAAGGAAAAACAAAATAAAATTGCTGTTTTCTTGTATGGCCTTTTCAGCTGCAAGTAACACAAAAATCTGTTGACAATGGTTTAATCAAAGGGAGGGTTATTTGTCCTGTGTGACAGACACTGATGTGGTAGGTCCACCCTGGCATGTCCTGCCTCCAGGCCCATTTTCCTTTATCCTCTGCCTTCTTCAACACTTTTGCTTTTGTCTTTGTGCTTGTGGTCTGAGCCCTTAGGTCTGCGTCCCACGAGGGTCGAAGAGGTAGTTCATGGACAAAGCAGCGAGAGCATCATCTTTCCCCTTCTACTGGGAAAAAAGTATTTGTTGGCATCCTTATGTTGCCTTTCCCTTAGGTCTTATTGTCCCAGACAGTGTCAAATGACCACATCTGGATGTGAGGCTGGCAAAGCCAACCTTTTTAGCTAGGCACATTGCTGCCCCGAACCAAGTCAGGGTTCAATCAGCAGTAAAGAGGGAATGGACGTTGGGTGGGCAGCTGCCGTGTCCGCCCGGGCTGCTGATGGCAGCTGGGTGATTCCATGTGAATGGGGGTTACTGCATCACGTGAGTGTGGAGCATTGTTCCTTACTCAGATAATTTCCAGTCTACAAGGATATTTTCCATTTCATTTTGCCTTTGCAGGAAGAACTCTGCCATTAGATTGACTCCTGCCTAAGTACAATTTTCGTAGAAGATTTGGAATAAATTAGGAGCTATTCATGCTGCTTGATAGTAGCTCATAGTATTCAGAAATAGAAAACCAGAGATTGATTTTAGACAAGCTAAGCTCTGAAATAAGAATAAAATGGGGATTAGCTCTCAGCATTGTGGTCAGGATATACCAAATAATGCTTACAGGTGTTACTTGTTGCCTTTATGATTTGTGATTCATTTATAAAACGTATTTGTTCAGTGTTTGTTAGGCGCCGGCGGCTGCTGTAGTGGGTTCTGGGGCTCCCATGGCAGGCACATTAGGTAAGGTCCATATCCTCACTGCAGTGAAGGGAGACAAGAGATCAGCAGATAAACTAGGAAATTAATTTCAGTTAAAGTGGCAAAAAGAAGGCAAGGAAGGGTAAAATGTTCTGAAAAAAAATGATTTCAAGTTGAGAACTTTTTTTCCTGAGCTAATTCTCTAAATATCCAAGTTAAAAGGAATATAGTCTTGGTGAAAATGCAATTATTTTCTGGGGAAAAAAACATTACTTTTTATCATAGGTTCCCTTATCCTAGAGGCAATAATATGAAGGATTGTAGAATTCACAGGTTTCTTTTCCCCAACAGATGGCCGTCTAATTCACCGTTGAGTCAACCCATTAAACTTCATCATACAAAATGTACCAAGGAAAATTGTTAGATTCCATGCTCTTTTATTGCATGTTCTTCTTGACTTCTTCTTTGTTATGACCCTTGCTTGTGGTTCTTAATGTAATAACTCTTCTCACAATAGTTGAGGTCATACCCCTCCTTACGTATCTAACAAGGAGAGAAATATGACCCCCAACGGGGCTCTGGAGATAAGTATGCATTGATAAATATTTAAAAGATCACTTCAAGCCTTAATTTAATCAAGTGCATTGAAATAGTCCTGAAAAACATATTAAGGAGCCTTCACTGACAGTTTATTGAAATGTTTTCCACACAGAGCGAACTTGGGCTGACTGAGGGAGAGCATTTGTTTGGTGCTTTGTTTATAGGTTTAATATTTCAGACCTTTGTGACAGTGGCCTTGGTAGTGCATTGTGAGGCGCAGTTTGGAGAAAACTCTATATTCTGTGCTTATTTCTTATAAATCTTTTTATTTACTGACAGACACAAACATACTTCTTAATTAGAGACTTGTTTACAGTTTTTTAACATAGATTCCTTGGATTTGTTTAAAAGTTGTTTCTTTTTTAAGGCTGCTTCCAAAAGCTACCTTTGGATGGAGCAACTCGTTTCTCTCTGTTTATCCCTCAAGGGGTTTTGCAAAATTATGAGAGCATAATACATATCTAAGACAGACTTTCTTGTTGCTCAGTAGACAATGAAAATCTATCTGAGGTCTAAATATTTGTTGCAATAGCCTGTAATATTTGTTGTATGTAGGCCGTTGGCTTGTATATAGCCTGTGAGCATCTATAGCTTATGGGTTGTAAATAAAGCTGTAGAAATGGATGGCCCAGGAACATGCCTTGAGGTTCTCTGACATCTTCAGGTTAACTAGAGGAGGGGAATCTGGCAAAGGGTCTTACAAGAGAATGCCCATATGCAGCAAGGAAACTGGTAGGGGGTGATGTCCCCAAAGCTTGTGGACAATAACAACTCGAGAAGGGTTAGTGATTAATAGCACCAAGGCCGAGAGTGTGATGCATACTCAGCAGCTGCACATCGGCCTTAACTCATAGAAGGCACCAATGATCTGAGAAGATGGACATGGTTTGAGTAGTGAGATGTGAGGAAACAAAAGTAACTTTTTAAAGACACTTGGCTGGGAAGGGGAACACAGTGAATGGCTGCTAAAGGGGAATGTGGGTTCCAAAGAGAGTGTTAAGCTTTTGTTTTCTGTTTTGTTTTGTCTTTGTCTTTGTGGGGAAACTGGAGTTTGTTGAAATACTGGTACAAAAGATTCAATAGTCCAGGAGTGACTAGAATATCTGAGATTCTGAAGACCCTGTAGAGAAGACCCAAAGAGAATGGGCGAGAGCCCGCACTCTGGAGGGGAGTGAGTGCTCCCTCACTGGGATGGAAAGGGAGGAGGGGATGCTCTCCCCCAAAGACAGGCTCCAGTTGTCCCAGTGAAGTGCAGGCAGGCGCAGCTGTGAGAGCCAGAGGGTGGAGGCTAGTGGAAGCCTGGGAGAGTGGGGAGGGGCTCAGGTGACACTGAAGATGATAGTTTTGTTAACAATGAATCTGCACTATTGTGTAATTTTTTCCAGAAGAACTTAGTCCTGCAAAACACAGACCAGCAGCGTGCTGCCACTGACCCATGGCTGGCTCTTTATTTTCTTTCCACAGCCACCTGTCAGTGAGGCAAGGGTGCTTAAGTTATTGGCAACAGAGGGGAACTACTGGTTGGCAGAACCGAAGACGAGGAGAGGGAGTTCTGATGGGAGGAGAATGGATGGGAAAGAAGAGAATTTGTGGCCTGGAAACTCCCACGGTATTGAAACATCAGCAGCAGCTGGGCTACCTCAGCAAGTGATCTGGAAGGACACGATTTTGCAGTCAGCTGGCTTGTTTGCTTAGTGCTTTTGGAAGCAGTATCATTTTGGGTGATGACAAGATCTAGAGGGTTTTCTTTGGAGGGAGAGCAGACCAAGGAAAATCACAGAACAGAGAAAGGTGGTTTAACTCCTGAAAACCTTTAGAGATAGATTGCCCTTGGGCTTGACAGAATTTATCTCTGGCCTGGAGTGGTTATATATAGTACATATTAGTGTCAGTATTAGTATTAGTATTAAGTACATACGGCATTAATAATAGTATTAATAAAGCATGAGTGTTACTGTACATAGTATTAGTACAGTGTAGTATGGGTCAGGCAGTTCTTTTTTCAGCTAGCTTTGAAAACTACTTGAGTAAGCATGGTAGGGCTGTGTTCACCATCTTTGGCATGCCTCATTTATTAGCTGAATTTTTTCTTTTTTAACATTTGATTTATTTATTTATTTGAGAGAGAGAGAGAGCCCAGTGAGGGGGAGGGGCAGAGTGAGAGAGAGAAGTAGGCTTTCTGCTGAGCAGGGAGTCTGACTCGGGGCTCCATCCCAGGACCCTGGGATCATGACCTGAGCCAAAGGCAGACCTTTAACTGACTGAGCCACCCAGGAGCCCCTCTTAATTGAATTTCTGTCCCGCATTTGGGGGAGCCTTGCTGCAGTTGAGTGGGAGTTTCAAGGGGAACCACAAACCAGACCTCACCCTTTCACATTCTTAGCTCATGGTTATATTGCCTTTGCCAGTATTATTCTCTGAAAGAAATGAGTGAATGTTCTCATATTTTTAAAACATTTCAATGCCTATATATTTTGCTCTGCCTCAGATACCAGTTGCATTAATTTTATCTATTACAGCACTGATATTTTCTGCTAAATCATGTTCTGAAACATCACAAGTATCCAGTAAGTGTTTTGGTGATGGTTTGTTTTTAATTTGCAAAGTCTTAATGAGTATCATTTACATATTGTAGTCTTTTTAGTTCTTCACTGAGGGTGTTTTCAAGGTATGTTCTTTTACTTCCTGAAGGAGCAAATGATGTGAACATCCTTCCAGGTCAAGCTGTTTGTCCTACCCCAGGGTGCCGAGGAATAGGCCATATCCGTGGTCCACGGTATTCAGGACATCACAGGTAAAATTTTTTCTTGTTTAAATTATTTTAGGGACAAATTGGAACAGTGTGCAGATTAGCAGCTATAGTAGCAGCATAAATGACTCTTAGGAGCCAAATGCCTCCCTGTCATACTCCCTTCTCTGTGTTCCTAGGGCCCCTCCTTGACATTTCCTGCTGCCTGCCCACCTCTGCCCTTCCTGGAGCCTTCTTGGACCCTTGAGGCCTTGCCCAGACCTGCATCACTTCCCAGAGCCTCTGCTCTCTGACAGTTTCCTTAACAAGTGCCCATTACATGGGACACACTCACCACTCTGTGTCCCACCCCAAGCCTGAATTCTCTCCACACAAGTCCTGAGTCCTGCTGTCTTCTAGAGAAATTCCAGAACCTCTTGCCTTTTCCCCCTGTTGCTTTCACTTTGCCCTTATTTCTTTTTCTCTATGTTTTAGTTATTTGGAGATGAGATAATTCTGTGGTAGAATAGAAAGTAGTAAGTGTGAAGTTATATTGAAGCATATAGCCATGTTTTCAATATTTCAGAATAGTATAGTGCTTTAAGAAAAAGTACAAATAAGTCTGTGTAAGTCCCTAGTCCTTTTTATGTTCCCATCAATTGGTAAAATAACGTATAGATGAATTATTCATATTGGTGCTCTAGTTACAGAATATGTAAACTAAAAAAATTATTCAAATACACAAATACATAAAACAAATATAGATAAGTATAAAGAGAAAAGAATAAGTTATGTCACGTGTGAAGCAAGAAAATATTTGTTTGAACAAAAGAGATCCAAATGGAAGTCCTTGCTTTACCAGGTGGTTGCAATCCTGGAAACCCATGCTGAAAACAGTTTCTAAATTAACCAAAGCAAATGTTACTGTAAGAAATAATGGTAAACACTCCCAAATAGCATAAATGAATATGTTATATGTGTAAATATAACATTAACACTTAAAAGAAAAGGATATCATATAGAATCCATAAAAAAATATAAAAATGTGCAGACGTCTTGGGTACTTGGGCAATGTGTAGGATTCATGGACTAGGAGAGTGGGGCTAGACTCACTGGAGACATTGTGGTGTTGTGTGGGGGAAGGAGGAAAAGAGAGTAAAGGACATAAAGTGGGAGGAAAGGGGGGTGATCACACCATTTGGGAGGGGGCTCTATATTAAGGGAGGACCCTGTTGGAACAGATAGAGCCACTTTTCAAACATCCCCAGGAGTATATGGCTATGAAGAATCTTCCTCAGGCTTTTCTTGTGTGTTTCTTTTTGTTCTAAATATAGAGCTGCAAACCCCAATATGATTAGTCACTAGTCATATATGTCTGTTTAAATTAAAATTAATCAAAATTAAAATTAAATCTTCAGTTCCTCAGTCACACGTAGCCATGTGTGCCCAGTGGCCACCATACCGGATGGCACAGAAAGTTCTGTAAGATAGCCCTGAGAGTGTTTACCCTATTCTGCCTTCTCATAGTAGATTTTTGAGCAGCAGGTATTTCTATATGAAAAGTGAGCTCTTCCATCAATACTTGGGTCATTACCCTGAAAGTTAGCAAGACTGTAACGTTGTGGTTGGTCTGGAGTTCACCCCCCTGAGGCACTGGGGTTGAAGTCACAAATATCACCCTGGACAGCTCCTTAAGGTTGCCAGCTAGCTCAGTCAGGGTCTCTTCCACTTCATTACAGCAGGCTTGCCTCCCACGCTGTTCCTATGTGTGGCTCACTTGCCTCTCCCTGCTTGGATTCGGAAAACATTATGAACAGAGTCACAATGGGTGTGCCCCACTTTGTTCCAGCAGCTTCCTGGAACTTTTCTCATTCAGTATGGCACAGACAGATCCAATTGTTTTCTTATTTGTAGTATCTAATTAGAGACTGTCCGACATGATTTCCTCCATCCACCAAGTAGCCTTTAAAGGTGAGCCTCAGAACTTCTGAATGTGGAAGTGGAGTTTAAAGAAAGGCATTCTATGAAGCTTATGAGAAAAATAAAATACTGCACATTTGTGATAGTGAGACATTTTTAGAGAACATTCTTAGAGAACTAGAAGGCACAAGGCATTCTTGCTCCAGACCTCACAATTCATAGGGCTGCTCGGGGCAACGCCTTTGTGACTAGGTCTTGGCTCTCCTCCCGCTTTAGACCTTCTGATAGAGCAGAGCTCCTGTAAATAAAAGTCTTCAGAAACTTAATGATTCCATTATCTCAGAAAAAAAAAAAAGCAATGACTACCTGTGATGAGCTTCTCTCCAGAATGGAAAAGACAAAAAAATAAGACAACTGGATGGTTCTTGAACAGCACTTAGAACTTATAAGGCATTAAACTATCAGACAAATTCTGATTTACCTATGAAAAGAGCTTTTATTATATTTAATACTATTTTGTATTCATGGAATGAGGACAAGCTCTTGGTGGGGTTAGTGTTGATTGTAAGGCAGTTATGGAGGGTGGAGGTCATGGGCAATATAAGGTTAGCTCCAGTAGGCACGGGGCATCTCTCTCTCTTGCTTTAATCATTTTCAGTGACCAGTCTTGTCTTTATCAAGTTTAGCTTTGAGATGCTAGAGTTACTCATTGACTGACTCTATCCATTTTTAGTCAATACACTGATTTCTTTTTAAACCACCAATTCTTATTTTCACTTCTCTATAGGTTATCACATTCTGAATATCATTTACTAAGTTAGTCAATGTACTAATGTAACTTTGAGTATAACTTAAGAATTTGCTTAAATTCTCTTGGAACTAATTGGGCAAGAACTGTAATGATAAATCATTCATATTCTCTGGGGTTTGTTTTCATGTATTTCAATTACTGTAGTCTTAATTTTACATAGTTTTATAAGATGAAAAATATCATTCTTCAATATGTGTCTTTGGTGGTATCTGTTGAGAATATTACACACACACACACACACACACACACACACACACACACACCTAACTACACCTGCTAGGAATTTGCCCTAACACACCCAAAGTTGTCATTGTACATTTTCCTTCTTATTTGTCAATGAGATGGTAAGCAGGAGATTAGAATTTTAAAATGCTGCATTCTCCCAGAGCCCTAGATGTGTTGTTACAGTCATCTCTAGCTTTGGTTTCCTGAAGCATGTGAGTTAGACTTGCATATTCTAAAATGAAAGTATTTTTTTCTCTTGTCATAAATATGTACCTTTACCAAGGAGTCATCATTCTACAAAATGCTTTTTGCAGTTTCTAGTCCAGAAGAGTTTTAGGCAAATATTTTTATATTAAAAAAAAGAAGAAAACAATAAAACTAGAACCAGCTTCATAAAGGCCTGTATAAAACAGCTCAATTGACCTCTGCTTCCAAAGCCTTGGGGAACGCTTAGAAGTATAGGAGGACAGTGATTTTCACTGCTCTTCTGTAAAATACTCCTAGGCAGCAAAGTGCTTGCAAGGAGTGAGTCTTGTTTTTACCATTTTATGTCAGAATTTCTGATTCTGATCTTAAAGCCTTGGTGTTTTGAAAGGAAGTAAACAATGTTCTAAAAATAAGTCGTCAGTGTCTTGTTTCATACAGCTGATGAGGAGAGCTGTGACATCAGGACATAGCTGACGACATCTGAAAATAATAGATCACTTTGAGAGATCAGGTGGACCTCTTGGTATCCTTTTTAGATGGATTTCAGACAGGTTTACTTTAGTTTTCATTAAAATAGTCAAGGGGTTAACAGTAATATTCAAAGCTGTTGGGACTTCATGTAAAATCTGCATAAACCATTATTTGAGAAAAATTGCATCAGTTCTTATCTGTATGAAAATAGGACTTTTGGCACACAATTATCACACAATTTACATGTTATTTGAATGAATTTACATAGTGAATAAAATGAAATAGGTGTGTTTGTTAACATAGAAATATTTAAAGATGGCAATATTGGGACTACAAGATAGAAACAATATAAGCCAGGGTCCTGGATTAGACAGGAATTTGTTTTTTCTGAGTAGAACATAGACTTGGAAAGACTTGATCCACATCTGTGTCATAAAACATACAAAGGTGGGACGACTGGGGGGCTCAGTCAGTTTAGCGCCTGCTTTCAGCTCAGGTCATGGTCCCAGGGTCCTGGGATCGAGTCCCACAGCGGGCTCCCTGCTCAGCGGGAGGCCTGCCTTCTCCCTCTGCCCCTCACCCCTCTGCTCGTGCTCTCTCTCAAATAAATAAAATCTTTAAAAAATATACAAAGGTAATTTATTTAGGAGCTAGTAATTACATTCTTACACAAAGAGCCAGGTATGGTTACAAGGTAGGGACCTCTTGCCCCAGTGTTCTTGGGTGGGGTATAGGACACACATTGCTGCTGTCACACCATGAAGAATACAAATTAAAACAAGGAAACAAACAAAAAAACACACAAATAGAAAAGGGACATCTGCTGCTCAGAAGTAAAGATGTCCAGTAAATCTAAGACGTTTTGGGTGTAGTTCGTGGAAACTTATGGCACAACTCAGCCTCTATTCATGATTTATGAATCAATTTGCCAGTGTGGTGTGTGTGTGAGTGTGTGTGTCTATGTGGTGCGTGCATATGTATGTATGGTGTGTGTGGGTGCAGCAGGTACGTGTGTGGGGTATGTTGGGATTGTGTGGGGGGGTGTGTTGGGCTGTGTATGTGTGGTGTGCGTGTGGTGTGCAGTTGGGGCCAGTGGAACTCCTCCAGCTCTTGACCTCATAGACCTGTCTCCTGGCATTTTTGTCTTCAAGGAGAGCATTTGCTGTGCTGTCTTCCTGCCTCTTGGGTGCGTTTTGAGGGAACACTCTCTGGTTGCGCTGTGGCACTGCGGCCTCTGCGCACAAACCCCTGCGTCCCCTCTGATCCCCCCCAGCCCTGCCAGCCAGGCTTGGACTCCTTTGGCAGAGCCACTCCCCTCCAAAGCCTCTCTCAGCTGCAAGTCCATTCATCATTTCCCCACACGTGGTGACCTTCCCCAGCCCCCTGCCCTTGCCCTCCGTCCGGGGTGAACCAGTTTCTCTGCAGGGCAGCC